ATTTGACGTTGGATTGCAGAACTCAATGACGCTTCTAGAAACCGAACCTAAAATTTTGAAAATTATAAAAAATATTTTTTCTGATCATGTTAAAGAATTTGTACTTTTTTCTTCAACCGTTTCAAGTAAGAAAGTTGTTCAGTGTTTAACTGTGAAGAAAATTAAATATGTATTTAAAATTAGAAAAAATGTAGTCTTAAACTCGTGAGAAACGGCCATTTCCACTCGCCTATGGCTCCTATCGTAAATTTCATTTTTGTGGAAATGGCCAACTTTCTCACTGGTTGAATAATATACTATTTTATAATTGATTTGTCAACTGATGGACAAATAATGCAAAATACGAGTCATATTTTTATAAACAACAGCAACATAAAACACAATCTTCAGTTTTTCCATTATTCATAATAATTATACGAGATGATTCATATAAAATTTCAAGCTTGACGAACTTTGAATACAATCAGTAGTACAGTCACGATCAGAAAGAATGACACCCCTATAAACTGAACTCAAACCGCAGCAATAAATTTTTTGGGTCATAAACATCAACAAAAATGTACATTAATAATAATTGGTGACTTGATTTATAAAAATTAACAATTTAACGTATCATCAAGTTTTGGACGTTGTCGTAGAAAAAATCATCATGAATCGTGATTTTGCAAAAGAAGTTAATGAATATATTTAAAGAAAAGTTGATTTTTAAATTTAGTAGTTTTAAAGTACAGGGTAATTTAGTTTTCTATGAATCACCGGTTTACAGTTCACTTGATCTTTTTTTCCAAAAAATTCTAAAAAATTTAACGAGTCGGATTGATTGTAAATTATCCTCCGAAATATTCATTAGACAAAACACGTATCCGTCTGTTGATGTATGATAATGAAACGTAATGACTCATTATTATGCTATTGTAGCGTCAAAGTGGAACAAGCTTGGTTTGCAATTATGGATTGCCTCGAGTCGAGCGTCTATGGAATAAACAAGAGAGATTGTGGTCAACTTTCATCTCTTCAAAACTCGTCCTATGGTCGTCGACCAATCGATGCACAAGTACAGAATAAAATACGTTTCGACGTTCCTTGCCTGAAGCGATATACAATGCTAAATATCCGACACGTCTGCAAGTCATTACCACATGATTGAAGACGATGTTTGCAGCTAATTCGAACGAAAAAAATTTGAATGAATGAATTGGAAAGTAAAAATTGAGTGTTGTTAGATTGGCGAAACCGGTTTGCGATACTGAAGGTGTATTGGGACGAGACTGGTCGATTGAGAGAAATCAAAACGAGTAATGAGTCAATCATTCCACGAGATGATTAGGACGAATATGGAGGAAGTTTTACATATTTATGATGGTAATCTTTGACCTTACGATCCTTTCCTGCTCAACGAATTCTTTCGCGTTTTTTACCCGTAAAAACCTTCATATTTTTCTACTCATGTCTTATACCAGTCATGAAAAATGTCTTCCAATACAATACGTCTGCTATATCGTGCATTACAAAAATATGCAAAGACTTGGTTTAGCACTGACGTACACATCATTAAATTCGGTTTAATTGCGCACTTGAATGACATTACATATTTTGGTATTATTAAGCTAGTTTATCAATGGCTTAATTGAAATGATCAACAGGTAGTTTTGTATATTCTTTAGATTACAAAAAATGCGAAATTCTATTGGATCAAATGTTTTGTTGGGGGAAATATCTTTTTCTATTTCGCATTTCGGTGTCACAATGAGCATTTTGTATAACTGAAACAGTTGCATAAAATGCAATTTTGTGACACTGGTTTTTAGTGACATTTTATGCAATACTTTGGTCATCACTGGCCATAAACTGTCGTTTTTAAGTGAGAAAAAGCTCATAATAGAAAGAAAAGTAAAAAAACGCGTGTTACAACTTCTCATTGTGATACTCATACATTTGTTACACTCGCCACTGCGTGGCTCGTATTACAATGAAGATGTTTGTAACACTTGTGTTTTAATATACTATTACGTACCTATAAACAGTGTTGCAAGTTCTATATTTTTTTTAAACTATGTATCTGGTCTTTTTAGGAGTGATAAAAAATTAATGTTGGGCGCATTTTTGATTAGTCATTTTTGGGACCAGGTGAACAGAAAGTATGAATGGCATAAACTACGTACTTATTTTTTGAAAAAACTAATGGATAAATGATAAAGTACGGTAAAAGTGTGATCGTTTTTTAATAAAATTTTAATTTTCTTCAAATGGCAATCCACTACATTTTTTTATAAAGGCTCTGTTCGAAAAATTATTACAACTACCTGCATTTTATACAGTTTTTATCGAAAAAGAAATGTATATATATATATATATATATATACCTACAGGATGCGCCAGAACTCGCGCCCTTTCCTGGTATCTTATCTTACTTGAAATTTTTTTCTGGGGCGCGAGTTCTGGCCCACTCTGTATATAAGTTGCCATTTTGTAAGAAATTAATACAAAATTTCATTCTCAGAGCACGATATAACACTTTAATTTTTATTATTATTTTGTGAACGCAAATGATTTTTAAAAATGCTTGGTTCTATACCTACTTTTTGTTCACTCTGGGTGATAATTAATACAGCAGCTCTGTTAAAATTTTAATATGCTACCTTTATTTTGCGAATGTGAAATTAAAAGTTCACAAATCTGCATTTACGTGGTGTTTTCTTATGTTTAATGTCTAAGATTTCCAAAATTCTTAATTATTTCCTTGAATACGCTTCCGAAAATGACTTTTTTAGGGACTCATTTGAGTCTCTAAAATGAATCTTTTTCGGACTCAGTAAAGTAGTAGGTAAAATGGTTATTTTAGGTACTCAGTCCCCAAAAACAGTTTTTCTGGCCAAAAAATTCATTTTGATTACTATGGTGGCGAATTTTTTTTAATTAATAAGAGGTGTGAATTCGTTTTTAGTTTTAACGAAAAAACTAAAACGTTTTTGCTCGGCTTCGCCTCGTCTAATAACAGCAACGTCCGCCAATTCTGTATTTTAGGTATGAGTATTTGTAACAAAAATAATATTTACTATTGAAATAATCATACAGGGTGCGCCAGAACTTGCGCCCTAGAGAAAAATGCCATATAAGGTAAGATACCAGAAACATGGATAAAATGTTTAAAAAAAATATCTATAAAAATTTCGAAGTTATGAGAGTTTAAATTTTTTACTTTGATTCTGATTTATTTCTGTTGGAAAAATAATTTTCCAAGTTTTTTTGCTACAACCTATAAGAAGAGGAAACAAGGAAGCTGTTACTCTAAATTGTAACTCTGTTCAATGTTTTTTGTTGCTTTTACTGGCAAAATTTTTATACCTTTACTATATAATTGTAAAAAAACATACAAGATCTTCAGTATCATTAAATAGATATAAAAAAATGTCAAATGTCGAAAAATAAATGTCAAAATTTTTTTACAGAATTTTTTAAACATTTTTTGTGGTATCTAATCTTACTTGAAATTTTCCTCTGGGGCGCGAGTTCTGGCGCACCCTGTATGCATGTTTTTTGACAATTTTGTTAACAATTTTTTTAAAAGTCTTAGTTTTGTCGGTTTCCAAAGTTTTAAACGTGGAATTTATTTATTAGTATTCCATTCACTACGATTGTTTGTTTCAGTAATACATTAATAGTTGTGATACTATAATTATCGGAATTGCAACGATAATTGAACCTAAATTGTGGTTTACTTATTATCACTTAATATTTTGTCAGTTTTTTGATAATTTTGTTGGTAAACTCTGTTTAGGTATCTGTTTTTTAATGTCTTAATAATGATTTTTTATTGTTTGGTGTTTTACATAAAATATAAGAACCGTGATATTCAATTTGCATACACCACTCGCTACGCTCGTTCTCAGAACTATGTCGTTTGATGATGTGTTCTAGACGATAATTGCGATATTATTAAACGATACTTAATTCCGGTGCATCGCAGATAATTAAGCTATAATTCATTCAGTTTAATCGAAAAAAGAAACACTTAATGATAAATTAGTCCAGATCCGTCTTTTCGTTTTATTTGGTGATAAGGATCATTACAGATGACTAAGCACACGTTAGCACAGCTAATTATCGTCTAATTCGAGCGGGCAAAACTCACAATCAGATAAAATCGAGAATATCGTATACATTAAGATAAACATCACCGATTCATGTGGTAATAATAATCCGACTGAAGCTGTGCCATGTGTTTTATTAATGCAAATCTGGATCAGAATGAAAACGGGAATTCGCTTCCTCCCGGCGGAAATGACTTTGTTAGTGAATTCGGATTCATTAGACGACTTACTGTTGCATTCCGCCAACAAACTTGTCAAGATTTAGTCCTAATGTAATAATAAACACGTCTGAAACCCATTTAAACGGTTTCAATTCTTTGTCAAATATGGATAACAAAACCTAATCTAAAAATGTGAATTTGCGACAAGGCCGGCTATTTCGCAAATTCCCAACGATCAACACTCCTCCTTGTTTATTCCCCCCACCGAGATAACGTCCATATCGCGTTGGCCTTGACGGAATTTATCTTCCACAGCCTACTGACATTTCACTCGTTTTGATCGATAATTTTTTAAACGTTGAGCCGCCTTGTCTGCCAAAAACTTTTATTTTTAGATGAAAGAAACGTGAAAATTCCTACAGGATGATGAAACTGCTTTTGTTGTATTAATAGCATTTTCTCGCTAATTTAACGCAAACTGTTTGATTTTTTTAAGTTGTTTTACTCGCGGATAAAATGAATTATTTATCGCACGGTGTGGATTTATTACGTTGAGAGTAACGAGCAAATTGCCATTTCGAAACAGAAGTTACAATGTTGCTTGTTTTTATTTTATTTCGCTGGTAGGAGATGATATCGTATTTTTATCGTGTTTAAACTTATGTGGATGTCACAACGAGAACTAGAATTGTTTATTTTTTGATCGTTATTTTCTGGATTGTCTTAATTTTTTTTTCTTCATTTCCAGGATTGAATGGAAGTGGCAGTACTTAATTACATCGTCCTAGTTTTTTAAAGGTGAGTGTCTTTCGATCGATTAACGACAAGCAGTCGTATAATAATAAATGGAAAGCGTGTGGCGCATTACCTTATAAGTTTCAATTTGAAAAGTTTTTAATGGACGATGTGAAACTTTGATAGGTTTGAAATTTGCATAATTTAATTCTTAAGTAATCGACTGAGTGGCTTGGTCGATATGAAAATAACTCCGAGGTTATTGTTTGTAAGCTAGTCGACTTTTTAATAAAATAAGTGTCTAGACGCGTATATTAAAATATGGTGAAAGATCGAACGATAAAGAAACGAGTCTTGTTTGAGTCTTGTGGATGGAAAACAGATGTCTTCCGGTGTTTGCCAAATCTTTTATATACATTCTAGAGATGGAGAAGTTGAAAGGATTGTAATGACGTTGCAATGTTAAGAGAAAAAAAAGAACAAAAAGCTAACATTGTATATTTTATTACACATTAGACTTTGATCACCGAAGAACTACAATGAATTCTTAATTCTTAAGAATATTACAAGTTTTGAAAATGGTTGTTTTTTGAATTAAATTTTAGTATTTCAAGATTTACTTTTAAATTGTTTGTCAGCCTCGTGTTCTACAAATTTTGAAAAGAAATTTGAGAAAAAATACATTTGATCTATAAGCACAACTAATTTCTATTCATAATTTAATAAATACTTACTGTTACACTCAAAAAGAAACACAAAATTGGTTCAAGGTGTTATTAAATTAGTTGAAAATATTAAAAGGTATTGACTTAGCCTTTAATTCGGATTTTTGTAGTACGATTGCTTCTTCCATTTCTCTCATTAGCACTCACTAATAACTCGAAATTAAAAAAAAATTACTAAATGTCTATTAGGCACTCGAAAATACTCAACATGCACGCACTAATAGCTCCCATTATTTCTACACAATTTTGCACTGAACTACGAAATAAGTAATTTATTTAGACTATTATTACAATTCATTTAAATCGTTCGGGAGCAAAGTTAAGACTGATTCTTTTGTTACCGTATCAAGTTCTGCAAAAACGGCAAGATCCACAAAAACCCATTTCGTAATCGTTTCGTTGTAAAAAGTCCCGCTATTCGCAACGTCACAAAATAATTTGAATATTACACCATTCACCATTTTTTGCGCTCTTTACAGGGCAACCCTCGATTTGCTTGATATGACGTCAAGATGCTAGCATCTGATTGGCTACAGGATAGCGTCTTGATGCGTCCAAACATGAATTTTTGCCGAAAATTTACTTTTGTTTTAAAGTGACAATGAAATTTTAATTTGCCATCAATTGATTTAGAAAAGGTGAAATAAAATTTAATTCAAGACTAACAAATCCGAATTACGTTAGGAACTTTATACAGGGATGTTATTCTGGCGAAAGTATCAAATTTTTTGAATATTGAATATTATACTTACGAGATAAACATAGTAACTTTTTTTTTTAATGGAAACCTACGACATTTTTTTTAGACAACGAGTTTGTTACAAGGATTGTTGCTGTGCAATTTTTTTTTTAAAAACCTCACACTTTTTTGTTAAAAAAATGTTTGACTTATAAGAATTCAAGAATTTTTTTGGAGTAAACTACCAGTTTTTTTTTGGAAATAAATTAATAAATGTTTAAAGGTTGTAAAGGAGCGATGCCGCTCACTTTTTATTTTGTGATTATTCGAATTTATTCCAAATTAATGAAGCCACTTTTTCATTTACTTATCAATTGGTTTATTTACGTCCAATATACAAAGTATGTGCAAAATATTTGATGAAAAAAACAAAAAAACATCATTTGTGTAAATTACTCTTGATTTTTAACATGAGATGGGGATAATTCTTTTAATGGTGAATGCTTCTCTTAACGAGATTAACTCTCGTTGTAATTTTTTCTGTCTCTAATTCAAGACATTTTCTATGGGATTCGTGTTTGGGGATTTTTCGGGCTAACGTCAAATCGGAATTTTATTTTCTTTGAGGAATTTTCTCACTGAGACAATTTTTTTATTGATCGATTGACCATCACACCATTAGGCTCAATTATTGAATTTAAATTACTTAAAAAATTTCAAAATTTCAAGGATGAATAATTGGGGAAGAAGGTAGGCTTGTATTTATGAAAAGTCCCTATATCTAATACGAATTTATTTTTCAACAAGTAACTTGAAAAATAAAGGACGATATATACTTACATATTTTTTTCTTACTAAAATGATGGTCTTATATTATTGAATTAAATTCCACAATTAATTTTTTTTGTTTTTTGTTGGTTATTTATTTGTTAAAGTATCTTATTGTATTAATTGTAGAAAAAATATATTGTGTTAGTATTCGCAGTATTTATACATGATTTCGAAAGTAAAATAAAGTGTTGGTAATTTTAGCGTTTAAAAGAACTTGTCAAATATAAATAAAAACATGTTTTAAGCTAAATCTGTTATTTTTGTTGGCAAATACGTTTATTTAATAACTAAAAATCTATATTTAACACGCAACCCATCCATAAATAGACCAACAAATCCGACCGTCATGTTATAATAAATCTTCAATTATCGACGATTTCATTGCACGACAGCACTGTTGAAATCCTTACCCACGTCAAATTTCATCCAAGAGCTGACATTTCCGAATCCGATTAAAACCTCGTAAAATTGAAGCAACGTTTCTTAAAATAATCAATTGTTTGCGTTATGAATATTTGGGCAGAAAGCCATATTTTAGGAAGATTCGCATCCGTTGTTACGACATTGTCAAAATAGTCATGTTTTAATTTAGGTCCTGAGCTGGTATTTTAGTCTCTTCTTCCGACTATTTATTAATTCTAGTGACGGTGATTCACCAGATCTAATGGTCTATTTTTGGAGTCTCTCCATGAGGCACTTGAAAAAATAATAACAACTAGATAGTCAAGCTCGAAAAACAGATGTTTTACGTCGAAAACCAGAGATCGATAACACCTCGCCTCCGGTGGCGATGAGATTCCTCCTCAAAACGCAAATTGTTTAATGTTGATTCTAACGCTGTGGAAATTCGACAGAAACGAGAGCGTCTATTTACGGATTCTCTCTTGTATCCGTTTTTATAAATTTTTTACGTCGGAAAGCAACGCAACGATTCGAAAAAGAACAAGTGAATAATCCTCTCAACACTCGTTGTGCATAATCGCAAGCAAAGGTCAAGATCGTTTTAGCTTAAAGTTTTTATTGCAATTATAAGCGATTTAAATCCTGTGAAATGAGACTGAGCTTTTGAATAGGTGAATAAACGAGTCAGTGAATTACTAGTTGTATGTTATCATCGACTTGTTGATAAAGTAAGAGTTGTGTAAACATGCATCGCAGAAGAGGTCATGTCTGTAAGTGCATCCTGATTTGATGACTTGTTTGCTTTTGAAGCTTAAATCGATTTACTAAGCTTCGAGATAATAGAATTGGTTGGCGAAATTACACAGAAAACAAAGTTTATATGAATTTTACTGAAATCAGAGATGGGATAAAAGCAAAGTTATTAAATGGTGCAATTTATAATTAATTATACATTGAAACGACTGGAAAACTTTAGAATATTTCACAAAGAGTGAAACTGACACTTGTTATATTTTATTGGTTTTTGATCGTTTTAAATACAACATCAAAGTTGAAAAACAAAAATCACTTCATATGGTAATTTTGAATTTCATTTCTCAAACTTCTAGTCTACTCAAAAAAAATTAGTATTTTGTATTTATTCATGTGTAATTCAAACACATTAAATTGCTTCAAACATCGTTGCAAATGCCCCTTTGTAAAATTTTTCTTGGAATTTGTTGACATTACTACATTCATCCTATACAAATTTTCAAATACATATTTATAGTCTCCTAAAGATTAAACATTTGTAGATTATTATGAAAACCAATTATGTGATGCACCTTATGAAATGTCTTATCTTATCTTATTCAGCGTTTTTTAACTTTTTTACATTTTTTCTTTGCGATCACTGTTTTTATACCCGTATCTTTCGTGTAATAACTTTTTTTATTTTTTCAATTGGCGGCAATGTTGCACTGCGCAAAAATGCAATATGTCGATTGTTTTTAAATAAGAATTATTTATGTAGTATTGGAATTTCTGTTAATACAATAAAAATATTATATGATAATAGTATATTACATCACAAAGTAGAGAAGTCGAGCTATTTATGTTATAAGCCCATTTGTTGTTTTGACAGTTTTGACAAAGACATATGACGTTAGAGGTGGGTTATTCTGGTGTTTTTACTGAGGAATTGAAGTATTTTTATTTGAATTTGTATTAATTGTATTGTATTAATTTCATCTTGAAATACATAGGAAGTATTTGTGATGATTAAGGCTCGGATTATATGCAAAATGCATATTTGTTATTAAGAGGTATATCAACAAAATTGTAAGTTTTCTATGCAGATTTATTGTTTTTTAATTAAAATAATCCAAATAAAAAATGCATATTTTGGCAACTTGGTGCATATTTTAGGAAATATTGCATATTTGTGCATATTTTCTTCAAATCACTAATTTCCGATTAAAAATTTCA